AGGAGGCAAAGGGTGCAGTGAGCCAAGATTGCCCACTGTACTCCAGCTTGGGCAAAAGACTGAGACTCCATCTCAAAAAAAAAAAAAAAAAAACAAATCTGGTAAGAACAGCCTGTCACAGATCGGGAGAAAAGCAATCCAACCAAAGGAGAAGGTATAAATGCCTGGACGTGGGAACAAACACCAGCGTGACCACAGCATAATGAACACAGAAAGAATCATGTAAGATGATATCACAGAACCCAACCAGACCAAGTACCCACCTTATAAATCATAATAAGCAGTTTACATTTTATTGTAATCACAATGAGAATTCATTAGAGGGTTTTAAACAAGAAGAGTAATATCTAATTTAAGTTTTTAAAAGATTGTTCTGGCCAGGCACAGGGGCTCACGCCTGTAATCCCAGCATTTTGGGAGGCCAAGGCGGAAGGATCACTCAAGGTCAAGAGTTCAAAACCAGACTGGCCAACATAGTGAAACCCCATCTCTACTAAAAAAAAAAAAAACTATATATATATACACACACACACACACACACACATATATTAGCTGGGCGTGGTGGCCTGCGCCTGTAGTCCCAGCTACTTGGGAAGCTGAGGCAGAATTGCTTGAACCTGGAAGGCAGAGGTTGCAGTCAGTGGAGACTGTACCACTACACTCTAGTCTGGGTGACAGGGTGAGACTCCATCTCAAAAAAAAAAAAGATTGCTCGCTGCTATATTGAGAAAGTGCTATAGAGAGGCAATATTAGTGCAAATGTCTACAGTACCTGAAAATCAATGCTTCTGCATAGGATAAGTGCCCTACAAACCTTGGCTATCATTATTATTGCTGTCATCATACACAACCCACGTTGTTGCACGTATATAGTTTTCCTTCCTCTCACAAAGTATATATTCCTTGAGGATAGAACTTCAGTAATCTTATATAAATGAGTATATCAGAATTAGAGATTTTACCAAACTACACTGTGTGTCCTCCAACCAGCAGGATTCTGCTCCAAAAGGCCTGGGACATAGTCAAGGCATGTACATGTTATGGGCTCCCCAGGGGATTCCAATATTGTGCCTTAAAACCACTAGTCAGCGCCATTCCTCTTCTACATCATCCTCTGATACAACGCAAAATCAATGTTTAACAGATTTCTAGAATTAATGACACACATGTTCAATTACGAAGTAGCTGCTTTGAAGCAAATGTAGTAAGAGGTTCACTACTGCTTAATTAGTTATATTTCAGGCCTCAAACAACCAGAGGTATTAACCTTCACCGAAATCCATCTAATATTAGAGTTTCATGGAACCCGACTTTCAACTTGAAAGAAAATACTCACACTGGCCAGGCGCAGTGGCTCACACCTGTAATCCCAACACTATGGGAGGCCGAGGCAGGTGGATCACAAGGTCAGGAGACTGAGACCATCCTGGCTAACACGGTGAAACCAAGTCTCTACTAAAAATACAAAAAATTAGACAGGCGTGGTGGCGGGCACCTGTAGTCCCAGCTACTTAGGAGGCTGAGGCAGGAGAATGGCTTTTATATTTAATACTCCGTGAGGCAGAGCTTGCAGTGAGCTGAGATCCCACCACTGCACTCCAGCCTGGGCCACAGAGCGAGACTCCATCTCAAAAAAAAAAAAAAAAAGAAAGAAAAGAGAAAATAGTCACACCAAAAATGCAAATCACTTATAAAAAAATAAAATTTGTCTATATTAAAATTTCACTACCAAATACAACTTAGCAGTGGTAAAGTAACATGGTAAAGTGGTGAAGTATACAACTTAGCATTGGTAAAGTAACAGCACATTCTCATTTATTTTCCCTAAGAATTTCATGTAAAGTAGTTTTTTTTGTTTGTTTTGGAGATCGAGTTTCCCTCTTGTCACCCAGGCTGGAGTGCAATGGCACCATCTCGGCTCACTGCAACCTCCACCTCCCGGGTTCAAGCGATTCTCCTGCCTCAGTCTCCCGAGTAGCTGGGATTACAGGTGCCTGCCACCATGCCCAGCTAATTTTTTCGTATTTTTAGTAGAGACGGGGTTTCACCGTGTTGGCCGGGCTGTCATGTAAAGCTTTTAAAGCTCAAAAGCAAACTCTAGATATAGCTGACAGAGTGATAACTTGAGAATTCCATTTGTTTGGTTGTATCCTACTCAAAGTTGCCAATTTAATATTATTCAGTTAATAGTTTCCAAATAATAACAACCAACGCACACAGGAAACTACTTTAGAAAGGAACAAAAGAATAAAAAACTAATTTATTCACCTTTATTTGGATGGATCTATGAGAATTATTGCTATGCAATAAAAAGCAATTCTAAAGTAGTTATTTTAACTAATTCCATCAAAAATTTATTTTTTAAAAAGTAATCAATCACATGATGAAACTTCTATGAATAATGGAATTATGACCTGATACTCAAATGAGACAAATGTATATTTTGTTGTTTTAAAAAATTAATCTCGGGACAGACAGATCATCTGGAAAACAAAAAAACCTTTAACTGGAAAAGATAATATGCTATGAACAACCACTGTGAGAATTACAAATCAGACGCATTAGACTAAATTAAACAATCCTAATTTTCAAAGTTTTAAATTTTAGAACCATTCTTAATTAGTATTACTAAACCAAACTGTTCATTGATTAACAATATCAAATTTAAAGGCTTTAATTAGAAGTGCATAGTTACACAGAGAATATTACAGTCATGGAAAAATAATTTTGCCAGTTCGAGTATTACTTGTTTACCTTTCTAACCTCACGATGAACCATATGTTTGAAGAAAATTGTGGGCCCTGATGAAAATTACTAAAAAAGGGGGAAAATAATTTAAGATACTTAACTCCTCAGTATTAAATATAAAAGCATGAATATGAAACACCTTCATTTATGAAATGTCTAAATATAAATATACCATCATTTAACACAATATATTATAGTAAAAAGCTATGGAGGTTTAGGCAGAACCACAGTGTACAAATTCATTGTTTCTTCTCACACATTGCATAAGTCCTATTATTTGGTTTTAGTTATTCCACACCCAAATTACACACACACACACACACACACACATACACACATATCTATAAACCTGTATTTTAAACTATGAAGCCTTACGGATGGATTCTGACATTTTTCTAGTAGCTCAATAGCCAATTTCTCCAATTTTCCAATAAAATTTCATAGTGGCAATTTAAGAAGAAAACAAGAAATGCTGAATCAAACACATTTTATATACATTTTGGGACACAAGTCAGGAAGGAAATCACTGACCTATAGAACTTTTGCATTCAAATGTAGAAACACTCACTCGATTCTCTTTATTCAGATATCATCTTTAATATACATTATACATTTACAAACAACAATTGCTCTTCCATCCACATAGCTTTAAAAAATGTGACATAGTCAAGCACTTTAGTAATTACTCTAACAGGCATTTCTTTCAGATATTAACTTAAAATATATACAACTTATAAGAAATCTTACTTGGTTTTACAACTCTCTGGTAAAACGTCAGACAACTAGCTTTCTGCAGCACCAAAAAAACACAGTACTATGTAAGGCACCTCATTAGTGACTCATCTGTATGCTCCCATGATCATCTCAGTCAAATTGACCACTTACTCTCAAAACCAAAAAGTACCCTCCCCACCAAAGATACCTAAAATTCATCATCACACATTCTCTACCTCAAATGCAAAAGAAGTAGACTACAGAATAAGAGAACTGACAAAAAAAAAGTTATCAATAGTCACACTTAATATTATAAAATAAAGTTGGAATTTCCTAATGGAAATAAGCCTGGATGCTCTTTTATTAGACTCCCAAGCCCCTCAAAAACAGCATTTTCACTAACTTTAACTGCTAGCTAATGTTAACTTACAAGTCCATGGATCAACCCCAAATTAAAAACTCCTGCTCTTAATAATTACAACTAATACATTTACATTGGCAATAGAGATCTACAGTCCCTTATTCAAACTCTTCAGGCCAGTAGATGTGCTTCAGAACTGAGAATCTGGAAAATACTGCTGCAGAGAAGTATAATTTATAAATATTAACTCTCATGGGAAAATGATATAAATAAACACCAATATTAGCCTCACATCGCAGTTCAGTGTAAGTCATATTTTATCAACCAAATGAATTAGGGAAAAAAGTTCATGCCCAGGGGTGAGGCTACAGTATCAGAACACTTGCTTGTGCATAACTAAGGCGACCTGCCCTCTTCAAGCAGCCCTTTTAACTGGGAGCAAAGCGAAGACAGCAAAAAAAGAGAAAAGTTCAATTTTCAGGAATTTCTGAATTTCAGAATTGCACAGAAGGAATTGTGGACCTAAAATTGGGATGTTTTAAGAAGGTTTTTATCAAATGTTTAAAATGTTTCCCTATTAATGGAAATTAAACACATATGGATGGGAAGGTTTAGGTAATTGAGACTGTCAGTAGTTGTCAAAAGAGTCGTTTTGAAAATACATGAGAACATTTTCATTGTCACAATGAATGGACTTGTCAAAGGCCAGTGATGGTTAATATCCTGTACCAACTTTTAAATGTCCTCCAGCCCTGAAGCTGAAAAAAATTTTACAATTATCTAAGCCTAGAACCTAACTGTACACATATAAAGACAAAGGGATGGAGTTTTTTTACACAGTAGTTTAATAGACTATAAATTAAGGGAAGATTAAACTTGTCTGAAATTTTCCCAAGTGTTGTCTCTCCACTTGAAAAAATCTTGTCAAGGATAAGCAATATCTTTTTTTTTTTTCCACAAGGATGTAAATATTTTTCTGTTTTCTTCTCATCACAAAGATACACACTTTGGCCTATACATGAGTTGATCAGAAATTTTGTGGACTAGCCTGGATATCTAAACACTACTTACAACATTGTTTCTATCAATTATTTAAAAAACTAAGTTGATGTCTTCTGAAATCAGGTTTATGGATAATGAATCACGGAAAATTGCTGATAATAATAGCTAGCACTACTTCAATATAAACTTAATTTACTCACATTTATAAACACTAATATTACAATTCTTAAAAATTAAAAATTGAAGACTACATGGAATCAATTTTTTTCACATAATATACTGTCTGTAAAATTCAACATTAATGTGTTCGTATTACTTTCATACCTAATCAATTGGGCATCAAGAGACTTTACCAATTATCTCTGTCAATTCTACCATTGCTAGTAATTCTTAATACTCAAGTTGGAATTTTGGGCCAATCTATTAAAACCTTGTTAGCATTTTTGTTTTCTCAAGCAAACACGTTTTTACCTATCCACACTTCTCAGTGCTAGAGAGCAACTTTTAGAAGCACTAGCAAACCACCACCAGTGGAATCGGATAAACACCGGTGATTCAGATAACTCCAGGAAAGATTTAGCCTCCTGTAATTTTCCTAAATATCAGGGAAAGAAAACACATATATCCTATACTACTAATGTTATTTGAATGCTTGGTTTACATAGCACACTAATTTCTCTTTTCCACTAGTTTCCATAAATACTAAAATATCAAAAAGTACTACTTTTGGCTAAAAGTTTTCAAAACGACCATTATATTTTCACACTATTTAATTAAAAAAAGAAACCAAGCTACCAAACTTATATTCAGGCAAAAAAAAAAAAGCGTTTTTCTTTCCCCAATAAAATGTAGAAATACTTTAATTTACATATTACAATGAATCAATAAGGAGTCAAAATCCAGTTACACATTCATAAAAATTCCATATATCATCCTCAGAATAATCAGTTTCTGTACAAAGATTTACAGGTGTCCAAGTATGTAGTTTTTCCTCAGTGTGCTATAGAATTTAAAGGCTCTGCTTGAATATTCCCCAAATCAAGCACAGAATCTGTTTCTTCATCAATTTCTCCAATGACTGCAACGTTGTCACCTCTTACAATGTATAATCCCAGTACCACTTAGCTTTACCCCTTGTGAAGAGCTGAATACTCGCTCATGGCTTTCATCCAAAATCAAATTAATGGTCTGGTCAAAACCTTTCAGTGTTCCCATAATCATTCTCCCACCAGACGTAATAACGGCAACAGTTCGGTTGACGTAGTTCTCCAAGGCGGAGGTCATGCTGCTCCGCCCGGCAGTTCGGGGTAACGCAGGGGTGCCGGCGACAAGCAGAACTGAAAGGGCGCGCCAGAACCCGGCAGCGGTTCGCGCCTGCGGGCCGCAGCAAATATCGTGAGAGTTACTGCTTACAGCAATGCCTCTCTTAATTATAATTTGGTTGCCAATCTGCATGAGTAGCAGTTGCATTCATGATGAGCCTACATCCAAGGACAAAAGCATCATTCTCAACTCTGGCTGCACATGAGAACTATCTATGCCCAGGCCAACACCCTTAACCAATTAAATTAGAATCTCTAGACGGCAGGACATAGGCATCAGTATTTTTGCTCTGTTTCATTGTTTGTTTTTGAGGTAAAGTTTATGTATAGTGAAATGCAGAGGTCTTAAGTCTACAACTCTATTGGAGTAACAAACACCCCAATCAAGATACAGGACATTTCCCCTACTCAGAAAGTACCCTCCTGCCCTACATCCAGTCAGTGCCCCCACTTTCCATAAGCAATCACTCCTCATATTTCTAATGCTATAGCCTCATTTCTGAACTTCATATAAACATAATCCATCACATAGTGTGTACTCTTCTGTACCTGACTTCTTTCACTAAACACAGTGTTTCAGAGATTCATTCATATTCATTTCATCAAGAAAAAAGTAGTCCATTCTTTTTGACTGCAGAGTAGTATTCCAGTGAATGAACACACTGCAATTTGTTTATCTGTTCTTTCTGTTGACCAACAGCGGAGTTGTTTTAATTTGTGGACTATTAAAGCTGCTATAAATCTCCCTATACATTTTGGGGACATGTTTTCACTTCTCTCGAGCAAATACCTAGGAGTGGAACTGGTGCAGCTGTATGTTTAATTTTAAAAGAAACAGGCATCAACTTTTTTTTACGGTTCCAGGTAACTCCAATGCAAAAAGCCTTTATGTTTTCTAATGTGGTCATGGCAAAGTATTCTAACATTTTTGTCTGTCCCATGTTTTCTGTTCCAGTCAAGAAAAAATTATGTTGCATTTTCTTTTTAAATCCTTTGTATGGGTTGGAAGATTATACTACCTATGAATTTCACTTGAAACAGAAAAAAGGGGCATTTAAATATATACGCTGTATAAAAGGGGGCACAGAGTCATAAGAGTCATATGATTTGAGAACCAGATGAATTTGACTGAATCTGTCACCAGAAAAATAAAAATTTATGTATAATTCCAATGTTGTATTCCATTTGTATTTGAGAACTATGAAGTCCATCCTCAGAATACTTACAAGTCCACAGACCAACCCCAAATTAAAATCTCCTGCTCTTACATTAAATTCTATGAGTCTTGACTTCACTGTGTGTAAGATGACCAAAGATAGAAATCATAAAATATATTAAACTACATAAAACATATGACAAAGGACACTATCAATTGTGTTATTAAAAGTTATGAAATTAAAGAATCTAAATATTAAGACTTCTTCTAAATCAATAAGAAAAAGATGGCCTCCACAGAAAAACAGAAAAAAGGGCAATAAACACATGACTCCTAAAATGAAATAAAACCAGCCAGAATATTTAAGATGCTCACCTCATTAGATGAATTTTTAAGTGATCAAATTACCATTATTTCCATCAGATTGACAATTAAAAAAAAAAAAAAAAACTCGTAACACCACGTGTTAGCTAGCATTATATAGACACATCTATTATCACACTCTTAGTGGAGGCATACAATAGTATAAATGTCCTTGATGACAATTTGACAACATGTATACATAAAGTTAATGTGTATACGCAATGTCTACTTTTAAAAATTTCTCCTTAGAAAGTACAGATGCTCCTTGACTTATGATGGGAGTTACATACCGATAAAATAATTTCAACTTATAATAGGTTTAAGTAAAAAATGCATTTAATACACGTAACCTACCAAACATCATAGCTTACTCTAGCCTACTTCAAGCACGCTCAGAACACTTACATTACCTGCAGTTGGGCAGAATCACTAAACACAAAGTCTATTTTATAAGAAAGTGTTGAACATATCATGTACTCTACTGAATACTGTATTGAAAATGAAAAACTGAATGGTTGTATTGGTACTCAAAGTAGGATTTCCATTGAACATGTATTGCTTCACACCACCATAAAGTCAAAAAATCCTAAACTGAACCATCCAAAATTGGGGACAACCTGTACTAAAAAATCAACTAGACATATGTACCAGAGTTCCACAAAAAGGGTTAAATTATAATAGCAAAAAATAATGGGAGAGGGTGCTAAATAAATATACCTTAGTAATGGTTGGTTAAATGTAGTCTGACTCATCCAAGCAACTACATTCTAAGCTGCTTGTAATATTATTACCATACACAAAGAGCAGCATGGTTTTACTACCTTGAAGAAGGCCAGGCATGATGGCTCACACTTGTAATCCCAGCACTTTTCAAAATCCCCGTTTTAGGTGTATTGTGAAGATCACTGGTGATATGACAATGTCATTTCCAAGTGGAATTATTAAAGTCTTCACCAGAAATTCAACTCCAGCTATGTTGTGCTTCAGGGTGCAAAAATATCAGCAGACTAGAGCAGATTCTTCCAAATGCACAACTTGTGTTCAGGTTTATACACCTTTTGTTTTGAAGGTTGAAATTTCTTTTTAAGAAATTTTTTCCTGCCAGGGGCAGTGGCTCACCCCTGTAATCTCAACACTTTGGGAGTCTGAGGCAGGTGGATCACTGGAGCCTAGGAATTCGAAACCAGCTAGGCAACATGGCAAAACACCACCTGTACCAAAAAAAAAAAAAAAAAAAAAAGTACAAAAATTAGCTGGGCATGGTGGCGCGTGTCTGTAGTCCCAGGCTGAGGTGGGAGAATCGCTTGAGCCTGGGAGGCAAAGGTTGCAGTGAGCTGAGATTGCGCCACCACTGCACTCCAGCTTGGTGACAGAGCGAGACTCCATCTCAAAAAAAAAAAAAAATCATCTTAAATGCTGTATGATTATTAATCACCCCAGTTCAGTGAAAAGATAAGTAAATGAATGCATGCATGCATGCTATATGGGCATTTAAAAAACATCACCACTACCACCACACAAACACACCCCCCCCCCAAAGGGCCTTCATTTCTGATCCCCAACTACCACAGGATTCAATAATGTAGTAGACACTCTACCACAGAAGGCACTCCTAATATCTAACAACAGCCACATTCTAACATAACATTAGACAAATGTGAACTCTTCTTGCTATACAGTGGTCTCCCCTTGTTAGGGGGTGAATACATTCCAGATCCCTCAGAATACACCTGAAACCACAGAGAGTGTCGAACTCTATATATACCATGTATTGTTGCTCTAATAACTGAAACAGCTACTACTAAGTGACTAATGGGCGGGTATCATATATGGATATGCTAAACAAAGGGATAATTCACATCTTGCCCTGGATGGTGCAAGATGGCACAAGATTTCATCACTCTACTCAGAACGGCATGCAATTTCAAACTTATGAATTATTTCTGGAATTTTCCATTTAATATTTTTGGACTGTAGTTGACTGCGGGTAACTGAAATTGCAGAAGGCAAAGCGTCATGTAAGGGAAAACCATTGTAGTTGTCACTGAATTCTAACAACTTACTGACCTGAAGTTACCTCTTGTCCGATAGCCAAAATCACCTGGGATATGAGAAAATTTTCTCAAAGAAACACATATATCAATCTATATTCTGATGTTTTTTTTTTTTTCTCGGTTTTGTTTTGTTTTTTTTGAGATGGAGTCTGTCGCCCAGGCTGGAGTGCAATGGCACAATCTTGGCTCACCACAACCTCTGCCTCCCAGATTCAAGTGATTCTCCTGCCTCGGCCTCCCAAGTGGCTGGGATTATAGGCATCCACCACTGCGCCCAGTTAATTTTTCTATTTTTAGTAAAAATGGGGTTTCACCATGTTGGCCAGGCTGATCTTGAACTCCTGACCTCAAGTGATCCACCCACCTCGGCCTCCCAAAGGGCTGGGATTACAGGTATGAGCCACCATCCCTGGTCCCCCAGAGTTGATTTTCTTTTCAAGAAGCAGATTACAACAATTGAGAAGCAATGCCAAAAGCTAAAAAAATTCAATGTTGCTAATTCAGCACATACTTTGTAGACACAAAAATTCCTAAATATTCTCAGTGGCCCCCATATTTGCTACACAATTGGTTGGCATTTTTTTTAAATCCGAACCATTTTAAAACATTTTTTAACATAAAAGTCCTAAGAATCTATGGTGCACTTTTTGTTTTGTTTTGTTTTTATAAGATGGAATCTCGCTCTGTTACCCAAGCTATAGTGCAAGAGGGGCAATTTCAGCTCACTGCAACCTCTGCCTCCCAAGTTCAAGCGATTCTCCTGCCTCAGCCTCCTGAGTAGCTGGGATTACAGGCGCCCACCACCATGCCTGGCTAATTTTTGTATTTTTAGTAGAGAAGGGGTTTCACCATGTTGCCCAGGCTGGTCTCAAACTCCTGACCTCAAGTGATCCCCCCACCTCAGCCTCCCAAAGTGCTGAGATTACAGGCGTTAGCCACTGCACCTGGCCCACAATGCGTATTTTTTTTTCAGTTCTGAAAAACCTCATTCTTTGAGCAAAGATATTCCTGCTAAAACTGTTTCACATTCAATTATTAAACTTTTGTGGGACATGCCAACCTCAATAAATAATCACATTTGTAGTATATTTATCAAGATAAGTGCTATATATTCATAAAAGCAAATTAACACAAAAAAGAAACAGTATGAAGTAGTATTTACAGGACTATGAAAAAAATCAAACTAAAATGTTACAATGTTTATCATTTTCATTAAATTGAATCCTCAAATGTGATGTACTCAGGTCCATATGTAACCAAAACTGGACTGGCAAGATTAAGTCTGACATGTAACAAAGGGCTCCCTCACTTTCTAATACAGTACAGTACTCTCATCTGTTACTCTCACCTCTTGTACAACATACTTTCCCAAGAGTCAATGCACAGACTAAAATGACTAATTTTCACCAATTCCTACATGT